CCCCCGCCCCCGCCCCCCCCCCCCCCTCCCCCCCTCCCCCCCCTCACCAAAACATGCCGCTGATTCGAAAGCCCCACAGTTCCACTGCTTGATGCCAGGGTGAGTTTCCAGATCTTCCAGGCCAGTTCAATTATAGAGAATATACTAAGCCTGTGATGGGATCTCTCATCTGCCTTGAGGAGTGCAGGCTTAATTCAGGTATACGTCACAAACATCAGTCGCAGCGCACCCCCCAGCGATCTCGACTTCCACGACCTCCGCCTTCCTCTCTGAGCAGAATACGCACGGCGTGTCAAAAGGTTTTTACTGGTCGCCTGTGGTTTTGCTTGGAAAGTTTCATTTTCTTCAAATTCGCACTGCTTTTCTTATCTTCCTTTATACGTTTATGTATGATTGTATACTATATAGCAATAGGAATCTTCTCGACAGCGCTATTACGTTTCTGATTGCTGTTCATAGTCTCTGTGGAGGAAAGGGCCGAGCTCAGCAGTAGGTAGGTAGGTAGGTTGGTAGGCAGGCATGAGGTAGGCAGGGAGGCCGGTATATGCTTTCTGGGCAGCGGAGGTGCGCGGGCATGGGTAGGCAGGTCGGAGGAGGTATATAGGATACAGGTCAGGTGTAGGTTAGGTAGACTTGGTTGCAGAAGGTGGGTAGGTAGGGGGCCACAGGGTGGCTTTGTTAGCAGCCAAGACACTCCCGCAATTGTGCCTCGCTCTGTGTGTAGGCAGGCTCCATCATGAACCTCCAGGTAATGGCTTGATTCCCCTTTTTGAACACCCCGAACCCTCAACCGCATAACCCCAAGCCCTAAATCCTAAATCGCGAGAACAGTGTGACTTACGGAAGTGGATGCTGCGCGCTCTGTGCAACATGTTTGTCATAGTTTTTTCGAGGCGGGTTAATTAGGATGTTCAGGGTTCCGAAGACGAAAGAACTTCACATTCAGTTTTTGGCCGTGACGCTTCATACTTTTCGGGGTTATTTCTGAGGTATTTTCTACGCTCACTCTCGGACAAGCCTGGCAAGGTCTGTAGCGATACTCGGGTATTAAGGGCTTCGGACGGGCTTCGGGGCCTTCTTTGGGGATCCAGGTTGCGATTGAAAGTTGGTTGCTGAGACGGTTCCCGGGGCTTGCAGCTCCGGCCTCTGCAAGAAGTTGTGGATGCGGCTCAAAGACAGCCTCGGGCTCAGTCTCCCCCATGCACCATGTAGGGCTTAAGGCATGTCGTCCTCCGATAGTGCCCCAAAGTGTTCTCGCAACAATCCACGGAGCCAATACTTTAATCATAACGCGGCGCCCGTTATAACTCGATAGTCGAAACAAGTCTCCTTCATGAAGTGGTGTTGAGCTGGGATGTCCTAAATCCTGGGCCTAGAAACGGCCAAGAGGCCTATCTACTGCGGCGCTGGCTGAAAGCCTGGAGGCCGATGCATATAGGGTCTGGGACCTTCTCCCGGCCACAGCAGACAAATAGTAGGAACCACCATGCATGAACATGACATCCCTCGCAGAACCCAGGCTCCAAAGCCAAAACAGTCCACCGAAGGTGCACGCCGGGCTGCGTGGTGTAATTCTTGAGCATTCCTTGCAGGAAAGACCTGAGGATCTAAGCCCGATGCGCTGCCACTCTGAAGGCCTGGTACTTGAGGGGATGTCGAAGACGGCATTTCAGGTCAACCAGATATTTTCGAAAGGAAGCTCGCGCTCTGGACACCGGAATCGTTTAGCCAAGAAGCTCACAGGCCCGCAGTTCCTTGGAACATGCCTCCGAAGCATGGATGGTGGAGATTTTGCGGACATGTTGCCCTATGCAGCTCACATGGGGGCAGCATGATCTTGACACGAGCCAGAGCCCTGATCGCCTCGGCAGAAATCTACCGGCTGCGTACTCAGCTCCAGCCCTAAGCCTCAAAATCTCAAACCCTACAACATGCCCGGAGCCTTCAACCCCAGATCCCAAAACAAAGCTCCCTGAGCCATGAAGCCCTCCAAAGCCCCTAAAAGCCCCTAAGCTGCACCTAAAGGACCTAAAACCTTCGTTTACCCGCTCTTTTCCCCAAAGCCTCAAAAGACGAAACCCGGGCTTTTCCCAAACCCTCCATCCCCGCAAACCCTGAACCTTTAGCTTCATTACACCAAAAAAAACTCACCTCGCGACTCGCGCCATGGAGAGGAGGCCCTGGGGACTCGGTGTCATCGTCCAGGTGACCTCAGGTTTCAGTCCATTGGCTCCTGGTTTTCGGCTTACCAGAAGGGATACTATCTCATGATGGTTAGTTACTATATATCAGCTTAACCCTAAACGGTTCAGGGTTTCGGTTTAGGACTGAAAGGAAACCCCAAAACCCCTGAGAACTAAGCTTCTTGACGTTCATTTGGTCCTGTGGCCAGCTACGAAAGCGCTCAAGCTCCAACTGGCCTTCTGCGCTGCCATGGACGAGACACCCCGGTTTTTGTTGCACGACCCTTTTCCGTCTCGCAGGATCGGGGAGCTGCGCCGGTTTAGGCGTTAGGCTGTGCTGATGCTGCGTACCGGGGTGGGCGACCTATTTGAGTTTCGGGTCTTCTGACCTTTGGAGAATGCTCTCCACGCGTGATGTCCGGCCTTTTTCTGCAACATGCTGAAGCTCCTGTATTTGTACTTGGGATGTTGGATTGAAGTTGAGAAGCACAAGCTGAACCTCACCTGGTCTCAGTGTGTGCTTATCATTGTCAATCAGTATGCCGTCATCCAAGAATGCCAGCCGTTGCCTGAATCTTGGCTGCCCGCACAAGCCATGCGAGTGTTGCTTTAGTGCTCGGACAGGATAGCTCTCTGCAGCGACTGTTGCCAGACAGCTCGCCAACTCAATTGTGAGCTGGACTTCCCCACCGCTAGCCCCGAAGGTCTGATGCCTAGACATACCACAAAGTCTTGCAGAGAAGTTTAGTCAGTTCTGCTTGTGACATAAAGAAATAGACGGAGCCAGCTTAAATGCCTGTCCGTGAACAAACATGAAATGCAGCCATCTGCAGGACTTGTTAAGCCGTGTACCGTTGTCGAACCAGAGATGCTAACACTGTGGGCTTATGTAGTTGTAGCCATGTCAGCGACAGGCTTGGACGCAAGACACTACTTATGCATTCTTACTCAATTTTTTTTTGTTGTGGGTGTCTGCTACTGCTCGAGCTAACTTGGTGAATCGAAATACGAGCACATGGAGTCGTGGCAGTCGAATTCCGGCAGCGGACTCGGAAGAACTACCAGAGGCAGCAGCTAAATAAGATTACACGAGGCTTACTTGAATAAGTGATCCACAAGGGTACTAGAAGAGCTTGCTTCAGGGTTTCGGGTTTTTTCTGGGATTTTCGATGCTGTAAAGCTTGCGTTGGAGTTTGGGCGCTTTGGGGTTCGGGGGTTCGGGGTTTCAGGGATGTAGTAGACCTTTCTGGAGTCTTCTGTTTGAAAAGTCCCTTCTCCGCAGGACCGTGTGTGTCAGACTTTAGGACTGATGCTTTGAAGATCACAAATCTTAATAAGACTTTTACAGCCAGTGCCAATTCGATGCTTTCCTGTGGCGGTGGGGTGTTGAGGCGCTTGTACAGTCTACCCACTCCTTTCCCCTTCAAGTGTCAAACCCTAAAACTCTAGATCGCAAAACCTTCTGAAGGCCCACGTCTGAAAGTCGTGCACTCAAACATCTTGAAGCTTAGGCAACACAGCACACAGCTTCCAGTCCAATTAGTACATGAACATGTTTATACATATCTGTACATGCATAGATACACACACACACATACAACTTGTGTCGTAGTGTATCATACTGTATTGGATGGTGTTCCATTCGCATTCCATTCGTATTTTATGTCGCATCTTAGCGCATGACTTTGTACATTGAGCAGAATTTCTAGTTTCACACTCCGATACAACATATCCTGCTAACATCATGTTACCGGTTTTGTTGTGGTTGTTGTTGTTGTTGTTGCAGCTGCTGGTGCTGCTGCTATTACGAGTGCGATTTTTATGATTGTGACATATTGTTACCATTGTTGTTGTGATTACTTTTGTCATTGCTAATCCTTATACAGATCCACGCATGAGAAGCCCTTGAAAACCACAAGTAGCCTGCGTCAAGGTCCACATTGACACCGTCTGCCGATGGCGCAGACTCCTGCACACTAGTTGAAGACATCGAAGGTCCCAGATAGGCACGATGTTGCACGATCGCTGTCCAGAAACGGCCCTGTATGGAAACAGGTCTCGAGTCTCCAGTATGAACGAACGGGTCGAGCTCGATCCTCGACCCGAAGGATGCTACTGGGGCTTGACAAACTTACTTGTACCTGTTTTAATTTATGCCTTTCACTTCCTTCTGGTGTGTACTCTGCCATTCAGATTCAGGGTCTGTGTTTGAAATTTGTTCCCTGGTTTGTCGAACTCAAGACGAATTTCAGGTAGAACCGTTAAAAGCAAGCCCAACACGACAGCTCCTGCAACTCGAAGAGGTTTGCGCTGACCTCTTTGAGCACGCCCTGCATCACGGCATGCGGATTCGGGGTCGCGGGTTTAGGGTTCGACAGTGGGGCTTATGGATGGATGACATAGAAGCCTTACGCCCTATCTTCGCTTGTCGTCGGACTTGGCAAACTACCTTTAAACCCTAAGAACAAAAATGAAACAAGTTGGGCCCTGCTGTTAAACTCGCAGCACACGGGAAACCGTGTACTGCCTGTACATCGGAAAGCAGGAGCCCGGGAATCGGCGCTTGCAGAAGGTTACACATGTCGCTCACACGGTAGCGGTCATTGCACGCCTTCATGCAGCCTAAATCATGAGCTAAAACAGAAATTTGTGCACAAAGCTTTTGAATGAACGCTTGCGGCCTGGCCTTCGCCACCCAGAAGGCCACGCGTTTTCGCACGAGAGCCTCCTTAGTTGTGTGTTTGGTTTGACTACACTGCTTCGTTTGAAAGGCCTTGGTTGCAGCGGTCCTTGGAAAGGAGGCCGCCTGCAACTCTGGGAAGTTGCTTCGCACTTTCCGCTTGCGTGTGCTACTTTGGGGTCAAGAGCTGGGACACATGCCTGGAAGCGGGATCATATGTGAGATCATGAGCATCGCTGAGCAAATGCCTGTGCTCGTGCTTCGAGTGCACACGCTAGCTCACCATCTTTGCACCGAGCTTGTGTGTCCCAAAGCCCGAAGCCCTTAAGTTGAAAGCCTGAACCCCAAACTCTGAACCCTGAATCTTCAGATTCTTAGAGGTAGTCTCTGCCTGAAAAGCCTGCTGGGCATGACCAGAGTGAAATAAGAGCTTGCGAGCCGACAAAGCCTGCAGATTGTGCACAAAAGACTGTGGGCTTGGGTTTCTGGTCTCAACATCTGCCGGAACAGCAGCAGGAAACGGCGCAGGCCCCAACGACCCAAAGCCTAATTTAATTCGTATCATGGAAACCCCGCAATTACATCTGGAGACACCACACTCCCAAAGCCCCTAAACCCGCCCAAACTCTAAATCCAAAAAGCCTGTCATCAGACCATGCTTAACACCCCAAGCAACCAAACCTCCAAACTCCGAAATACCCAACCCCGAACAACTAGCAATCCTAAACTGCCTGCCAGGATTCAGGAAGCTCGAGCTGAGCAGTTAACTCTTCAAGGCTGAGCCTCTTGCGGCCGGGTTCTTGCCAAGGGTAAGCCGTCTACCCTTTATGGTTTCAGACTTTTCCGCAGGGCAAGGGCTCATCTGAACATCCGCGCAGGAATCTGCAGGACGCTAAACCCGAAACCGTGCCAAGCCATAGTCCAGTTCGCCCCGGCAGCATCGGCGCACATGTTCGCTTAGGTTTTGAGCATATGCTCTCCTACCATGGACCTAGAGAAGTCTGCGAAGCTTGAGCTGCTGCTGTTATCGCACGTAACACGTACGAAATAATATGTTCTACATTAGATGTATACATAATAATGGCTAATATGTGCTATGTACAAGATGCAATACATACACGGCCTTGTTGGTGCTGTTGTTGGCGTACTTTCTCCAGAGGAAGCCTGCGACAGAGGCTGAGCGGAAGAGCCACAAAATCCCAGGAGGCATCGACGAAAAGGTCCAGGGTTGTTTTGGGACTTGCGCTCGAGAAGTCAGCCAGCGTCTAGGGTTTGAGGGCTTTCTCCAGGGTTCTACGCGCATATGATTGGGATTCTTTAGGGTTCTGTGCAGGTTTGGGAGATGAGGGTTTTGGCTGGAGGGCTTTAGCTTCAAGGGCTTTGCGGTGCAGGGGATCGAAGAAGCCAAGAGTGCTGTGCAATTCTGAGCCCTGCGGCGCATGCCTCGGAGAAGCAAGCAAGGACTGCGTAGTGAATCGGTGTGACCTCAGGAATCCGATGCCTCACCCCTGCTTGTCACTCAATTCCTGTCTATAGCTCTAGAATTGCATCAAGTTCGAAGAAGTACAACTGCAATACTGGACTGAGCAGTGCACTGCTTTACTCCAAAGACCATGTCCAGTCCCCGTCTATCTGCACATTCACAGGCCGGCAGTGAAGCACGCAGTCTGGTCCTCCGATACACCTCGTTTCTCTCCTACTCACACCGATGTTGTCCGAGCGGTTTTGGTGGTTTGGGTCTTCGTCAAGTGAACCAGCACACATATCTTGAGGCCTCGGTCTGGTAGCAGGGAGGGTGTCATAGGATCTCCATGTTCTGGTGAAAATTTTCTGGGCTGATGTCAAACATATCTGCATTTTCCGAGGCTTCGGCCGTCACATCCAACGTGCGATCCGCCAGCTGCACCTTGAGAGGGTTTACGCTCTCACAACTCGGTCAAGCCAGGCGAGGTTCCACGGTACGAGGTCGGCGTGAAACAAACACCACATCCCATCAAAGTAGCAGAGCCCGCAAGAACCAGTCTAAGACCATAACCAACAAACCCGCAGGATGGAATGCTGTCTCAGATCTACATGGTAGGACAGGCCTCGAGAGGGTTTAGGGTTTAGTCCCCGAACTCCAAGCCTGAAAATCTGCAAAGTATCCCTTGATAGAACCCATATAGGCCCCGGTCTAGGAGGGCTCTGGACCAAGCACCGTGATTTCGACCACTCCATGAGCTCGCTGCCACTGGAGTGAACCTGAGTCTGCCCAAACCATAAACCCGAATCGTTGCACCTGTAACCCGTAATGCCAGAGCCCTATAATCCAACTGGAGAAGTCCTGGCTCAACAGTTGTCAGCTTTCCGCGCTACGCTCTCCCCTCCACTCCGCTATCATTCAACACCGTTCACGCTTCTTAGTAACAACCAATGGCTTCTCCTTCTTGCTTGGCCTTGCTGAGGCTGTGATCGCCTGCGAGAAACCTGTGGAACGTATGTCTCTTTGCCCAAGACAAGCGACGTTTTGCCTTCGTCTTGGTGTAGGCATGGCCGTACTCCGACAAGGCATCCTCCAGCTGAGCCGGTAGCCTAGGCGATTGCATGCAGACAAAGACCACTTTGGTTGCATTAGGTTTCGCTAAAGATCTCGGGCTGCATTGATGCCTTTTGCCCAAGCGGCCGGAAGCGTGGGTGATCTGCCTTGCTGAGTGCGGGTGGCCAGTAATGCTGCGAAAGCACGAGAGGATGGATTGGACCTCGGATCGACACTAGGTGCCAGGCACATGCTACGGAGAAATCACATCCCTGGGGCGAGCGAGAGGTGCTCAAATCCACCCTCTTTTAATTTCTCCCCCTGAACCGCGAGAAACAGTTTTCACTTGATTACGATTACCATAGCCTCTGTCCCCAACTTCCAGTTCAAGCCCTGTTCAACGTGCCTCCCCCATGTGCCGCCGTAGATGCCCAGGGGTCCACCAGTGCCCTTGAGCTGTTGGACATTGCCTGAGCAGACCCCCTTCTCACACAGGTCTGATGGGAGCAGGCCCCTTAAACCCTACTTGGAGGTTCAT